TTACTAGTATCAAATCAAAATATCCACTACAGTCCTAAGGGAGGTCAATCGCGAGCCCGAATAGCTCAGTGGTAACGTCTCTGACTGCAGTACTCACTGGGTGACGCGGGTTCGAATCTCAGAAGGGACATGAGCTGTTCCTTCAAGGTTGCAGATACGTCTACCTTGCTGACCAGTGAGTGAGTGCCAACTAGCACGAAACGTAGGTCATGTGAGGCTTCCTGTGGCCGATTGCCTCCAACCACCTAATATCATCACAAACTATGTACACCGTGATGGCGAGCTACCTAGAATGGTGGCCACATTGCAAAACCTGACTGTTGTGAGAATTCAGTCTGCACCAAAGAGAGTACTAGACACGCATCACACTAGCTACTCTAGTGTCAAATCATAATAATTTGATATCTTTCAACATGGACCCACAGTGGTCGTTTGTTACCTACCCAGACGAAAGTTATCTGAACACTATTGGACGGTCGTTTTCCTCGCTTGGAACCGAGCTCATCAGCAGTGTAGCTATCTGGTATTGAATCTACTCAGAAACCTGAATCATTTCAAACTGCTGAGCTGTTCACAGTTTTCAAATTATATATATATATATATATATATATATATATACATAGTTCGAGGTGAAATTTTGCCAAAATTTCTTGTGTTTGTGAGACATGCTCATTGAAAGTGGAAATCATGAAAAGGTTGGTTAGCTGTGTGTTTGATCATAGGTGTGTGCGTTCTGTCTCCCGTGTTAAGTGGTATAATAATAAGATGAACAACATTGAGGTTAGGCATCTATAGAGTGAGTGCTAAGTAAGGCAGGGCCAAACAATTGATGAGGTGTTTTTAATAATAATAATAATTTGCTTTATTCGAATACAGTACATGTGATACAGAATGGAATTCTCAGTATTTTGTTTACTACAGTATTGCATCCAGTTTGTACATTATCAATAAATAGAATTCTACATAGATTAAGGAAATCTCAGTTCATTATGACAACAACATATTGGCGTGTCGGTAGCAAAGCCAAAGTTGAACAGTGTTTGAAGGTGTTAGAAAAGCAGGTACTGTTATATTTACTGGCATAAGCGGAAGAAAGAAACAAAGCCGCACATAACAGAAAAAAAAGGGAGAGAGAGAGAAAAGGAAAAGAAAGAAAGGAAATGTTGTGTCTATAAATGATATGAGTTGGAAAGATGACGTCCAGTTGTTCTACTGACTATTTAATGAATTATAGATGTCACTCCCAATGCTTTGTTTATCGCACAGAACACGAGCTAAGTAGGGTATGGTTGAGTTTTTGTACTTGGTGGTGCGAGCATATAGTTTTCGATATATAGGCTTCTGGTTTCGCCTGATGAGATACAAGGGGAGATAAAGTGGATTTAGCCCATTTTTCACATGAATCCATGTGCCTGTCAACCAGAATATTAACAAGCTGGTTAAGTGGCACGTTGCTTACTCTGCTGACTACCTTTAACATCCTGCGTAATAAGGTATAGTCTTTCTTTAGTAGCCCGGGAAAAACTAAGGGGGAACAATAGAGAGTAATAGGCAGGATGCAAGAGTTAACGAATTGTAGGAGTAAGGGTTCGGGGGGTTATACCAGAATATCTTAACTTCTTGATGTACAAGGTGAGACGGAATAGTTTCCTAGAAATCATCAAGATATGAGACGACCAGGAAAGATCAGTAGATAGGATTACGCCGAAATATTTGGTTTCCGAATTGATCTCCATTTCAGTGCCATCTTTGTTGCACACCTCGTCAGTGCTAACCAGCTAGTTTAAGTCAGATTTATGCCTAAAAGTGAAACTGATTGTTTGACATTTTGATGGATTTCAGGTAAGGCCATTTTCCTTAGACGCCTGGCTGATGTCTGACAAAAAGCCATTCAGTTTGACGAAGTCACTTTGAAACTTGACAGGCAAAGATACAGTCAAGTCATCAGCATATTTTACAAAATAAGAATTTCATTCGAAGAAGATAAGTCATGTAGAAATAAAGAAAAGAGTACAGCACCTTGGGGGACACCAGCTTCAGTGAGCGCAGCAGAGGAGGTGTACTGCATTCTGTTAGAGAAGTTGTGAAATTCCACCGATTGAGATGCTTAGGACATGTGTCGCGCATTCCTATCTTAGCCATCACCTTTCTGGATAATGGGCAATGTTAGCTGACATAGGATGGATCAGGTTGGAAAAGAGTTAGCCAATGGTGGTCAAACCAAAACATGGCTTCATCGGTCAATGAAATAAATCCACAACAGTTAAGTTGAAGTCGGCCAGTCAGTCACGTAGGGAGGTATAGACTTCCTGACTGACTGGTTGGGGTCCTCAAGATGATAAGAACCAATGAAGGCTGGAGACAATTGGTGATATGGCTAGCTCAAAATCTTCAATCTCAATGGCTGGTGTAGGTGCATTCACTCTTTGTGACCTGACATATCCATTGAAACACTATTGCAAACGCACGAGTGACCTTCAGCCGACCAATCATTAAAATGTATAAAAATGATATATATATTGACAAGAAAATGCTCGAAAACACATTAAACAGGTTACCTTTCTCTGACACATGACTTAAAAATACGTCCCAGTTATAATGAGCAGAGTATCAGTTCCTAAGTTAGACTAGATTCTATGCATTTATTCGCTGAGGTAACTAAACATGATCCTTTTTGAATTGTATGTCTCTCTTATCCAGTTACGTAGTCTTCCCCAAAAACCCTCGGTTGAATTACTATGGTTTCCAGTAAGGGGACTGACGATTACTTACCAGGGAAATGTGGATAATTTTGATTTGACACTAGTAACTAGTGTGATGCATCTAGTCCTCTCTTTGGTGCAGACTGAATTCTATCAGTCACGTTGTAATGTGGCCACCATGCCTCTAGGTAGCTCGCCATCACGGTGTACATTGTTTGTGATGATATTAGATGGTTGAAGGCAATCGGCCACAGGAAGCCTCACATGACCTACGTTTCGTGCTAGTTGGCACTCACTCACTAGTCAGCAAGGCGTATCTGCAACCACATTGAAGGAACAGCTCATGTCCCTTCTGAGATTCGAACCCGCGTCACCCAGTGCACACATTCCTATCAAGCAATCAATTTATTAACACCTATCTTTACCATCATTTAGTGGAAATTTAAATTAAAACAAAGAATAGAATTTAGATAAAGCAATAAGAAGAAGACGTAATTTGTCTGAATCGTGTGCATAATGTGTATTTGCGCAACACATTTCGAACAATCTGATCACAGACGGACTTGTCATAGGAATATATATGAAATTAATAAAGAGGTAAGAGAGGAGAAAATAGACAATTTAGGTCAAGTTTAAAGGACATATTCAAGGTCAAAGTAACAATGAAGACCACTAAACAAAATAACAGAGGTAATAGTACATCTGCTATGGTATCAAAACAAAATTTACCAAGGAAGGTGGTTTAGTGTGATGACGAATTGTTTCTTTGAACGCATAAAGGTGCTTTAATCTTTCTAATTGCCAGCTAGGGCTTCCACAAACTTTAGGATACGCCCCAAACACGTTTTATAGATAGGTTTAAAAGATCTGTTAACGTCAATTTTATGTCCTGTCTCTATAATGTTTCGCAATAGAGGAGCTAGATCTCCTGTTCTCACCGTTAATAGGTTCTGAAGATTCCACTTGTATCTGGAGCCATTTAGGAATATGCTCTGAAGGCGTTACTCGACGAGTTCTCCCTATGAATGTGTGTCCACACGTACATTCAAATTGGTAAATACAGTGGGATGTGACGTCATTTTTCGCATGTTCGAAGGGCTTAGATAGAGATATTGGCTTCACATTCTCTATTATTATGATATTAGCTACATAAAAAAGTCTTTTTAACAGCAGCGCCCAGTCTTTGTCTAGTTGTTAAGCTGCTATGATGCCCCATATAGGGTAGCTTGATGTACACGTCTTTCTTAGGGGCGAGTTGGAGAGTGGGTCTTGGTGATCTGACTACCTTATATCTCCTGATGAACTTGTCTGGATAATTGTTATCAACCAGAGTTTGTGTCAACTTTCTTTCTTCTTCATCAAGTGTGTCATCAGTGCATATTCGTTGGATTCTACAGGGCAAAAACTGTGGTAATTAAGATACTGTCCTGTCCAGGTAGGTTTTCTATAAATATATCTTTTTATTGACCCATCAAGCCATCAACTAAGTAATATGTCTAGGAAAGATAAACAATTATCTTCCTCTTCTACGGATGTAAGTGATATGCTATTCTGGACTTCATTCATTCGATTTAAAATTGAGGTGGCAAAACAAGACTTATCACTGATGATTACAACATCATCTACATACCTTCTATAAAGTGGCACCTTCAATGTGTCCTTTTAACTTGGCCTAAGTCTATTTTCTCACCTCTGACCTCTTTATGAATTTCATATATTCCTATGACAAGTGCGTGTTTTATCTTAATTCATAAAGGGAACTAATTGTTTTAAAGAATAGAATCATGTATAGTTTATTTTTTGTTTAAAAAAACAGACCATCAAATACACGTAAAATAATGACAATGATTTTGTTCTTTTCTTTTAAAACTGTGAAGTAATCAATATCAATGAATAATATATATAAGAAGTGGAGTTTCAATAGAAGACAAAAAAAATTAAATTAAATTAAACACCTTTCGAGTAGTAGAAGTCTAGGTGGTTTTGTCTGCTTGCTTGTCATTTTTTTTCGTACGAAGCACATATAAGTAAATAAGTAGTAAAAGTATGTATATGAAAAATATTAGATTGCACAATTCAAATAAGTGTTCTGTGTTATAATACTACAATAAGGAAATGACGAAAGAAGTTTATACGTGTGTGTGAAAATTGAAATCATGACAAGTTAAAACAAAGGAGGAAAAATTGTGAAAAAAAAACAACGTTTAATTTTCCACAGATAAATATGGCACACACAAACAAAATCATCTCAAGTTCATATATATATATATTTATATATATATATATATATATATATATATATATATATGGGATAATATCGAAAAGGATCTATCATACAAATAACGTGTATTTTGACTACTACTGGAGAGTAATGAAAACAACAACAACAACAATAGACGGAGTGAATTTCATCTTTCAGTATGTCCTGATCTATTCGATATTACTCCTCCCCCTCCTCCTCCTCGTGGATGTTCATTACGACGATGATTCGATTGATGACGATTAGCAATTGCGAGATTTAATTTTGGACCTTTAGAAAAGCAAAACAAAATGAGAGGAGAATAATTCAATGTTCAATTGCCTAACACTTTGATTTACATGTATGTATTGAGAACACACGAGTCAGCAGAGATCTCTCCTTGAAACCTTACTACTTATAAAAGGTGTACAGTTTAATTTAGAATGTTTATATATATATATGCGGAAAAGTTAAACTATCATAGCTTAAACCACCACAGTGACCTTGAACAACAAAATCAGAATTCATTGGTTACAGGATTTCATCATGAGGTGACATTGGTTAGAGAACCATTGGAAAACCAGCTGGGAGTACTCGACAGTTGCTTCGTCCTGGTTTGGGACTCTTCAGCAGTACGCACCCACCTGGGTTCGAACCCAGGGCGTTTTGTTTACAAGGCGAGTTCGTATACCATTAAGCCACTGGGACCCGATCCAATGGCCAGCCCATGAATTCTAACTTCTGCCGATTCACGATATAGCGCAACCGCTAGCCAATGTCTTCGGCGAGTATTTGTCCTCACACCCGACCTTCTGCACCCTACTGGTCACGACTTCCCACTGGAACCCCAGGTAACTACCTACCTGAATAGGGCCAGTCGCCAGTGAGCATCTCATTGATATTGAAGTATTGGTTTGTAGAGATTTGGTTGATTGGTTACACGATTTCATCATGAGCTGACATTGGCCAGAATTCACACAATTGAAAGTCTCATAGTAGTTGAAAAAAACGCACTAAAAACTGTTGCAAAATTCATATTACGCTGTATAAGTTGTAGCCTATGTGTCATAAGAATGTCTCCCAGTCAATAATACACAGAAGATCTATGGAAAAATCGTAACAATTCGTGATATACCCGTTCATCCAAGTGACTGTAGGTCATGGTATGGTAATTTGAGATCCATTCATATTTCTAACACTATTCTTCAAGCTACTCCTAATTCTAACCTTAAACCTAGACTCTAAATCTTAGTCATAAGTGCCATAATCCCACCTAAAAGTATAGATTTGTAGAAAAAGTACCTAGTAAATAAGTAGAATACTGTATCTATCCTCACCAAGTCGTAAAAACGGCAGATATAATTTGATTTGGAATGAAATTTCAGAGAACTCCCTCCCTTTATCCAATCGCTTCTTGAAGGTCAACTTTTGAAAGGCCTTTACTTTAGCTATGATACTTTAGTAAGTCGATATTAGTTTGTTTATTAGATATATCACACAGTCAGTGAAACAGTATTATTTACTGGATGACACAGTTTCGAACAACATTTATTGTTCATAATCATATCAATTATAATCACACGACTTTGAGACTTGAGTTTTATAGCTTTCTTTGTTTTTCCTATTTGTCGTCGTAGGGGTAGTAGAATTTTCCAGATATCGGGGACAGGTGATTAATCATTCCTATTATATGTATTTGCAGTTGATTCGATAAACAAAGCTTCTTTTATCAATCTCTCCCTCCACCCTGCTGTTACATTAGATTTTAAAACTGTCATCCTATCCCATCCTATTGTATGGTTGTGTGAAATTGCATATGGCGAGTGCTGTGGCTGAACTATTCTCTAGATTTCTTATCTTATTTGGATCAACCAATCTAGATTTCGCTTTTTATGTTCAGCTAGTCTGACTGCCCCTGTTCTACTAGTTTGACCTATGTATTTGACCTGACAATGATTTCAGGTAGGGTATTAGATAAACTAAATTGTTTTGTTTTAAAGGCTCTACAAGATTGATCCTTTAACCGACAAAGCTTGTTTCTAATTGAGTTTGTGGGTTTGAATGCCAGCCACTTTTATTCCTGCCTTGTTAAGAATTCTGTGTAAGGCTTCCGAGGTTCCTTCCTTGTATGGAATTACTACTGATGATTTAGATTCCTTATTGTTGGTGTCGTCATTCATATTATTATTATTATTATTATTATTATTATTATTATCACTATCATTATTATTGTTATTATCACTATCGCTACTATCATTATTTATTTTAGTTTTACATTTCCTTACATATTTCCTGACTAATTTATCCGGGTAATTATTAAGTTTCAAGGCTTCTTTTATGTGTATCAGTTCCTGCCTTAGAATTTCCTTGGTACTACTTAGTTTTTGTGCTCTTTCATTTGAACATTTCACCAATCCTATTTTCACTGACATAGGATGGGATGATCGGAAGTCTAAATATCTGTTTGAGTGTGTGGGCATCCTGTAAACACACAAGTGTTTAACTTTCCATCTTTTTTCCTTTTTACGTTGCAATCTAACATTGGCAGCTCCCCTTCCTGATTTTCCAATTCATAAGTGAATTGAATCGCTTCAACCTTCGAGTTGATGTGTTCGAAAAACCTATCTATATATTGTGTTCTCAGTACAGTGAATGTGTCATCTACATACCTCCACCATACCTTTGGGGTGGAGGTGAACGTTTCAATTGTTTCAAAGCATATATATATTCATATAAAACAGAATTCAATCCGTTCGAATAAGAATGACTAATTATGGCAAAATTCTACTTGGATGTAACACTCTCTCTCTCTCTCACACACACACACACACAAAATAAGCATGTTAATAGAATACAAATGTGATAAATTCTTTACACATACCTACACTACACTCTACGTAAACACACATACATGCTACTATGACGTTTTATAATTCACACACACTAATCAAATCTATATATCTCTTATTATTACTTTTATCAGTAGTAGTATTGGTAGCATTAACAGCAGAAGTAATCGATTCATATGACACTGTAAAATTAACCCATATAGTATAGTATAGAATTATGATCGAGTTACAGTATATGATTTTAAAAAAATTCCGATTTACTATCATGAAGAATTGATTGATGCGATTGGACATTTCAGCCTAATATAATTAATCGATGGGTAATACAGAATTAATTGTAAAACAACAATGATAATTAGAACGAACAATATTTTCTCAATAGATTCTTCTTCAAGCTCACGGAGAGACCACAATGAATGAATTCATCTGTGCTATTGAGAAGGTTTTCGAACTATATCATCCACAGGTTGCAACCATTTTGTGTGTTTGGAGTTTCTAGGACCCCAGCTTAGCTGTATCTCAATCTATGTAACTTTATAGCCTCGTCGATTGATTTTCCCTAGGTCACGTGCTGCGCATGCCTAACCATCGCCTCCCCCACCCCGACGGACGGGCATTACTAGCTGATATACGTGCAGGTTGGAAGTAAGAAAGAGTAAGTGGTGGCCAAACAAAAACATGGTCTCATCAGTCAATGAAATCCTTGACAGTTAAACTGAGTCAGTCAGGTAGGGAGGGAGGGAGATGCAGACTTCCGGGTTGGGGCCCGCCCCCGGGACTCTAAGAATCAATCAATGAAGGCTGGAGACAGACAATAGGTGACATGGCTCAAACTCATCGTTGTCAATGGCTTACGCAAATGTATTCAGTAGTCTCTGTAATCTTTCATATTCCTTTCTACCACCATTACTCATTCATTCTGTTTCACTCTTATACTTGTCAAAACTCTATTGATTCTCTTCACTCATCTTCTTGTCTACCTTTGTGTGGTATTTGGAAGGTGGCAACTGGAACTGTTGCACTTCGGTGCGAAGTTCTATGTTGAATCCAGACAGAATCGGCAGGAAGACTTCGCTGCGCATCTATCTAGGTTTCGTGTTAGTTGGCACTCACTCAGCAGTCAGCAAGGTGTACCTGCAATCTAGAAGGAACTCATTCATGTCCCTTCTGGGATTCGAATCCGTGTCATTCAGACATGTTACCACTGAGCTGGCCATTCGGACTCACGAATAACCTCCCATAGGACTGTATTCGATACTTTGATTGGACACTAACTCGTGTAATGCATTTAGTCCTTTGTTTGGTGCAGTCAATCAAGTTTACAGTGTAGGCACCATTCTAGGTGGCTCACTATCACGGTGGACTTTAAATTGTTGACGAGTGCCAACTAGCAGGGGATACTTAGGTCCGAGGCTTTCTGCCGATTACCTCCAACCATCTAATATTTAGAATTCAAAGTGTACCGTGATGGCAAGCCACGTAGAATGGTGACCACATTGCAAAATTTGACTGACTGAAAGAATTCAATCTGCACTAAACAAAGGACTGGATACATTACACTAGTTACTTAACTAGCGTCCAATCAAAATCTTCAAGGAGTGTAAGCAGGTGATTATAAACCAAAGTATTATTAAATAAATAAATTTGATGCATTTTGTGCAGTGTGTGGTGAATTAGTTAGCCTAATGCTTTGAGGAGGACGCCAGAATGTTGCAGCATTTTTTTGGTTTTCATTCATTTGGCGATACTAAATTCGTTAAAATGCAAGTCACCCTTCCTTCCATCTTCTTCAATTTTTCAGTCTCCTATACAAATCAAATATCATCTTATGACCGATTGTATCTCACTCACATTGTATCCGAACATACAACCTGCAAGACAACAAAATCTCGTAATCATTCCAACCTAACTGATGATCGAACCGACTGACTGACTGACTGTTTTAAGCCTTAACACACATTTCTTAAAACTGCAGCAGTTCATCAAATCGCCAATTTTTCTTCATACATAATGCACAAAGAAGTTATATAATGAGTATAAATATACGGAGGAAGAATAAAGACAAGAGAAGAGCTTTGCGAATTTATTCATTCTGGGAAATGAAAAATACGGTGACCATTCGTGTACTATTGAAGAAGAAAAAGCTTCTAAGCCACATACATATATATATTACCAACAGATTTTGGTACCTCGATTTTGGTTTCATGACCAGAAAGTCTGCACCTTCATCTCTCCCGATAGGATTCGAACCAACAATCAAAGTCTTTTTTGGATTGATGGCTTATTTTGATTTGATCAAGCCTAACTCTTTTCCAACCCTGATCACATATCAGCTAACACATTGCTTGACAAGGAAGGAGATGACTTCACATGTGTAACATGCACATACACCCTACACACCCCCTCAGCCGTCTACACCGATATAGCTTTACAACAAGTGAT